TGCCCCGGTGAGACGCGCGCGGCTGCCCGCGGCGCAGCCCCCCTGCCACTGTCCACGGTGCCCGTCTGTCCTCTCACTCAGGATGGATGTTGGTTTCAAGAGTAGCTGGAAGGTTTGTTTCCAGAGTCATCCTCTTGGGAGCCCATGCTCTGTGGGGAGAGTGGAGTGGTCTCTGTCAGGGCACCCTTGGCCCCAGATGAGCGCTCCAGCTGCTGTCCCCCACCCCTGGAGGAAGGCCACCGTGTCCCAGGAGCCACCCCAGATCCCCGAGCACTCCGCCGGGCTGCGGCCTGAAATGAGCCTGGCCCGGCCAGCGGCGAGCAGCGCCTCCCTGTGAGCTCACGGGGGAGACTGGTCACAGGCACGGGGCCGCTTCCTCTGGGACCCGAGCCAGGCTTTCTTGCTGGCGTGGCCACCCCTCCCTCTGTACCCAGCCTGCTTCCGGGCACGAGGGCACCCTCATCACCTTCTGCACAAACTGGGGGTTCACTGTGATCTCCTGGTCCATGGCCTTCAGCCGCTCGTCCAGCTCTATGCACTTCAGCATCTGTGGGCAGACGCGTGGGGCGCGGTCAGCGGGGCGGGCTGGGCCTGGCACGCCGTCTAACCCAGGCTAGGACGCGGGCGCTAGGGGCCGGTCTCCGGACTGAAAGCCCCGAGCTCATGCGTGTGAAGGCAGCACATTCCAGACGCGGGCACTGACAGAGTACGTGCTGTCTGTGTGCCACCGGACGACCGGCAGGGTCTGGACAGCATCGTCATCCAACACGGCAGTCTGTTTTGCGGGAACCAAATATTCCCACTAGTGTCACCGAGACGACTCATCTCAGGTGACATTGTAGCCATCAGATCAACTCCCAGAAAACCTTGGCCCTGCAGTTTTTGTGTTGTGTTCCTTTTCCCTCTTGTAAGAAGGGATGTGGAGGAAGCCTCTCCTGCCGTGTTGTGTCCAGGCACCCACGGCTAACGCGTGCCTCAGTCTCCCTCCCTGGAGATAAGAAATGTGCACCGCACACACAGCCCCTCAGACCCAGAGCACACTCGGAACTCTACACCCTCCCAAAGAGGCACAAGGACCTCGGGGCTGGCTTGGCTCCTCTCCTTTTCCCGCGCCCCACTCCTGCCACAGGGAGAGAGACGGGAAGAGAGGGCTCCTGACCTCCCACCCAGAGTGCCACAGAAACGGGCTCTCTGTCACCAGTGGCAGTTGGGTGTGGACAAACCACTAGATCCTTCAAGTGTTCTGGCATTCAAGCAGGTGTCGGCGAGCTATCTAGGGGATCAAACCCGTCATTCAGCTCAGCGATGCCACCTGCAAGAGTTAAGGCGGCCCATTTTGAAATGAAGCCCCTAGGAACTGAGGGACTCACAGGCTGGGAACACCTGCACTTCCGACCAACAGTGCCCGGCGACACAGAGGCTGCATTTGAGAACCCAAACCCCAAACCGGGTCCCGGCGGTTACCTCCTGGTCGATGTTATGAAGCATGGCTGGGTTGTTGTACTTTTCAGGGTTATCGTGGAAACTGACCATTCCGTCCTTCTGATTAATACTGGCGAAAATTTCACCATCTTCTATCTACAAAACAGACGGAAAAACAGTTTAAACCTGAACATCCTGTAACTGGAAAAAGCAGTAAACCTGTGTGTGAATGTTTATGCATCACGTTTATTTAAAAAGTATTTATCGAACAATTAGCACAGGTAAGGCATTACAGATGCCGAGGGACATAAAACTTACACACGTGAGCACAATCCTTATCTTTTTTTTTTTGAAATAATTATTTAATTTTACTTATCATTATTATTTTTAAAGTTTGCTACAGGACATGTGTGCTCACCAGAGGAAGACAGAGAAAGTGAGAAAGCAAATGCCAGGTGTAGGACTCGAACCGTGGCTGGCCGTGAGGGAGTCCAGCACCTCGGCCACCACACCACTTGCTGGTCCGAGTGGTTCTTTTTTTTAAACTGAAGTGAAAGCAGATAAGATAATTAACCATTTCATGGGCCAGCCCTATAGCCCAGGGTTAAGGGAGCCAGGTCCCACATAGCCAGCCACATGGTTCAAACTCCAGCCCCACTGACTTGAAAAACACACCAGTCACCTGGGTTCATGCCCCGAGTCCCCACAGGACAGGGAAATGGAGAAGGGGCTGCAGTGTGACCACACCCTATCGGGGGCTTCCTCTCCCTCTCTCTGACAATTACACATGCTCTCTGGCAAAATGTTTTAAATAGAAAGGGACACTATAGTTAACCATTTAAAAGTGAGCACTCTGTGGTGTTTAGCACATTAACAACGCTGTATGGTCCCTCTATCTGGGTCCACACACTCCGTCACCCCGAGAGGAGACGCACAGCAGCAGTAGCCGGCCCCGCCTGGCCCCGCCTGGCCCCCGCCTGTCTCCGTGGCTCTCCCCGTTCTGGGTCCGGCCTCCACTGGGATCACAGTGTGTGGGCTGTGGGTCTTGCTCCACTTAGTCTGTTGTGACGCACCCTCTCATTTCTTTTCCTTCCTTTTTTTTCTTTTTTTTAAGAGAGATTTCTGCTCTGGGATCACAGTGTGTGGGCTGTGGGGTCTTGCTCCACTTAGTCTGTTGTGACGTACCCTCTCATTTCTTTTCCTTCCTTTTTTTTTTTTTTTTTTTAAGAGAGATTTCTGCTATAGGTCACACGCACTTGCCAGAGAGACAAAGACAGTGAGAAATCACCGCCCAGAGGGGATGGCCACGCTGCAATCCCTTCACCTCCATTCTCCTCTCGGGATCTTGCGCACGCACGCACGCGCGCCCGGCATGATTTTTAAGCCCCCAGGTCCAGGACTCGAACTGTGGTCGCTAGGTAGGAGTTCAAAGACATTACCATTATGCCATCTGCTGGCCCCAAACCCTCTCATTTCTTAAAAACCTCTCTCTTTACTCATGATAGAGTGTGTGCGCACACATGTGAGCGGGAGCGAGAGTGGGGCGAGCACCTCCATGGCGTCTGGTCATGCTGCGATCGCCTCCTCACTCCTCCAGCCTGTCAGAACTTAGCCCTAGCACACACTCCTGGCATGCCAGGCTGACGGCACCTGGGGTTCAGACTGCGTCACTGTGTGGGATCCGGCTTCTCTGGAACACCTTACTATGGCATCATGAAGCTGGCTCCCTTTGCCTTTTTAAAAAATATTTTTAGGGCATGTTTGCTCACCGGAAAGGCAGAATAGAGAGGCCAAAAGTGAGAAATCACCCCCCAGGTGGAATGACCACATTGCAATCCCTTCTCCTCCATTCTCCTCTCGGGATTTTGGGCATGTACACAGACACACTTGGCGTGAGTTTCAAGCTGCTGGGTCAGGGACTTGAACTACAGTCAGCCGTGTGGGAGTGCA